GCATCAGGGGGACTCGGATCAGGGCCAGCCGCGGCGCATACAGAGTAGGTTGCATGGCCGATGTATCATGCACAGAAGGATCATAGCTCGGTGTACAAGATTAGGAGTGTGGGCTTTACGGGAGGTTGGTCTGTGTGTACATGTCTGGGTCGTTGGTTGTTGGCTGTTTTGAGGTTTTATTTAATTTTTTTTCTCGTTTTTTAGATGTTTTTTGTCTACTTTCTTTCCTCTCTATTTTTTTTTCTTTCATTGCCTACCTCTTTCTGTGTCTTCCCACTCTCTCTTTCTCTGTCTTTCTTTTTCTCTATCAATCTTTTTATCTATTAATCTATCTATCTAGCTATTCTTTCTCTTCATCTTCTCTCTCTCCTCTTCTCTCTCTCTCTCTCTCGTCTTCTCTCTCTCTCTCTCTCTCTCTCTCTCTCGTCTCTCTTCGTCTTCTCTCTCGTTCTCTCTCTCTTCTCTCTCTCTCATCTCCCCTCTCCTCATCTCTCCTTTCTCTCTCTCTCCTCTCCTTCTTCTCTTCCTCTCCCTCCCTCCTCCCTCTCCCTCTCGCCTCACGCCTCTCACCTCTCCCTCTCCTCTCCCTCCTCCCTCTCCCTCTACCTCTCCCTCTCCCTCCCTCTCCCTCTCCCTCTCCTCTGCCCTCATCCCTCTCCCTCGTCCCTCTCCTCTCCCTCTCCCTCTCCCCTTCTCACCCTCTCCCTTCCTCTCCCTCTCCTCTCCCTCTCCACTCTTCCTCACCCTCCTCCTCATCTCTCCTTCTCCCTCTCCCTCTCCTCCTCACCTCTTCATCTATCGCTTTCCCAACGGCCTTCAAGCATCAACTGATCCGAGCATCCCTCTTTTACAGTCATCATCATCAACCATCACCACTGCCCAGTCAGTTACAGTTACTCGCAATCAACACTATCACCACGTAAAAAAATGGAAAGGAAAGAGAGAAGAGAGAGAGAGGAGAGAGAGAGAGAGAGAGAGAGAGAGAGAGAGAGAGAGAGAGAGAGAGAGAGAGAGAGAGAGAGAGAGAAGAGAGAGAGAGAGAGAGAGAGAGAAGAGAGAGAGAGAGAGAGAGAGGGAAAAGAAAAAAAGAAGAGAATATATATATTATATATATATATATAACTATATATATATATATATATATGATATATATATATATGTGTGTGTGTGTGTGTGGTGTGTTGTGTGTGGTGGTGTGTGTGTGTGTGTGTGTGTGGTGTGTGTGTGTGTGTGTGTGTGTGTGTGTGTGTGTGTGTGTGTGTGTGTGTGTGTGTGTGTGTGTGTGTGTGGTGTGTGTGTGTGTGTGTGTGTGTGTGTCCTGTGTGTGTGTGTGTGTGTGAGAGTGAGAGCGTGTTGTGAAGAGAGGAGAGAGAGAGAGAGAGAGAGAGAGAGAGAGAGAGAGAGAGAGAGAGAGAGAGAGAGAGAGAGAGAGAGAGAGAGAGAGAGAGAAGAGAGAGATAGTGAAAGAGAGAGGAAAAGAAATTTTAAAAAAAAGTGAGAGAATATTATATATATATATATATATAATATATATATATATAAAATATATATATATATATATATATATATATATATATATTTCACATTGAAAATGATACATTCCCATTTTGCGTCCGCGGCCCAACCGGGCCCATTCGCACGAAAGCAGAGCACTCATCAATGGGGCAAGAATTTTTCACGAAATGAAAATATGCAGACGAGACACGCATGTAAACACGTGCTCCTCTGGGCGTGTGGTTAACGTGTGTGTGCGTGTGTGTGTGTGTGTGTGTGTGTGTGTGTGTGTGTGTGTGTGTGTGTGTGTGTGTGTGTGGTTGTGTTGTGTGTGTGTGTGTTGGTGTGTGTTGTGTGTGTGAAGTGTGTGTTGTTGTGTGTGTGTGTGTGTGTGTGTGTGTTTTGTGGTGTGGGTGTGGGTTTTGTGTGTGTTGTGTGTGGTGTGTGTGTGTGTGTGTGTGTGTGTGTGTGTGTGTGTGTGTGGTGTGCGCGGTGTGTGTGTGTGTTGTGTGTGTGTGTGTGTGTGTGTGTGTGTGTGTGTGTGTGTGTGTGTGTGGGTGTGTGTGTGTGTGTGGTGTGTGTGTTTGTTGTGTGTGTGTGTGTGTGTGGTGTGTGTGTCTGTCTGTGTGTCTGTCTGTCTGTCTGTCCTGTCTGTCTGTCTGCTTGTCCTTTACTGCCTGCTTTCCATGCCACGTACGTCTGCCTGCCCGCCGTGCTGCGCTTTAGTAGCTGTTTGAGCCTGTTTTGGTTTTTTTATCTGCTTATGTCACTTACTGTTATTACTGCAACGGTCTAATAAACGCTCTCAGTATGGTGATGTTTTTCACTGTATTTTCGTTCCTATTGCCGGCATTACATTTTCACACATGTACGTGTTGCCAAGCATTAACGCACAACGATATAACGAGAGAAAGGAGAGGTGACGAGAGAGAGAGAGAGACAAGACAGACAGACAGACGGACAGACCACAGAAAAAAAGAAAGAGAGGGAGAGAGAGAGAGAGCGGAAAAGCCGAGAGAAAGTAGAGAGAGCCAAAAGCGAGGAGCAGAGAGAGCGAAGCGAGAGTAGAGAGAGCGGAAAAGCGATAAGAAGAGAGAAGAACAGCAGAGAAAAGGAGAGAGAGGCGAAAGTGAGAGAAGTAGAGAAGAGCGAAAGCAAGAGAAGGAGAGAGAGCGGAAAGAGAGAAGTGAGAGAGAGCGAAAGCGAGAGAAGGAGAGAGAGAGGGAGGGAAGAGGGAGAACGAGTCGGGAGGTCTTTGTTGTGGCATAAAACCCCATTATAGAATCTCGATTCGGCGAGAGGACGGGGAATTCTCTCGTGTCCCTCAGCGCGTTTGTACTGGACGCAGGATTTCCCACGTCTGGAGTCACGGCTCCTCTTCGCCTGCGCTCACTTTCTCCTCTTGTGCTCTTTTTCCTTTACTTCCTTTCTCTCTCTCTCTCTCTCTCTCTCTCTCTCTCTCTCTATCTGCTCTCTCTCGTCTCTCTCCATCTCTCTCCTCTCTCCTCGCTTCCGTGCTCTCAGTTCGGATCGCCTCTCTCGTCTCTTATCAGCGTGCACTGGCATCTAATCCGGTGGATGGTCGTGGTATCTTTTCTCTTATGTCTCTTTCTCCCTCGGAGTCTCTCTCTTCTCTCTCTCTTCTCTCTCTCTCTCCTCTCACTCTCATCGTGCTCTCTCTCTGAGTCGTCTCTCTTCATCATCTCCTCTCTCTCTCTCTCTCTCGATCTCTCGCTCATCTCTTGCTCTGCTCTCTCTCTCTCAATTTCTCATCTCGGCTCTCTCCTTCATCTCTCCTCTCTCTCTCTCTCTATATATATATACATACCTTATATATATATATATATATATATATATATATATATATAATTATATATATGTATAGTATATATAGTAGTATATGTGTACGTATATATATATGAATATGTATACAACACACACACACACCACAGCACACACACACACACACACACGACACACACACACACACCACCACACACACACACACACAACACACACAACATCCACACACAACAACAACACACAACAATTGACACAAACGACACATCAATAGTCACACGTGACACACACAGATAATGCATATATATATATATATATATATATATAGTATATTGATATATATTATATATTATATTATATATATATATATATATATATATATATATATATATATTATATTATATATATATATATATATATATATAAATATATATCTCCTATTCTCCCTTCTCCCTCTCCTCTCCTCTTCCTTCCCTCTCCCTTCCTTTCCTCTTTCTCCCCTCCACTTTCATTTTCATCTCCTCTCTCTCCGTCTTTATCTCCCTCTTTTTTTCACTCTCCCTCTCCCTCTCCCCCCCCCTCTCTCTTTCTGACTCCCCTTCCCCACTCGGAACCTGATAACAGAAAGAACAGAGATTTAAGCCCCTGTATCGTATGTGTCGAACCCTTAGGATTATACATTGGTAGGGGTAGACGGGGGGGGGGGGAGGAGAGTGTGGAGGAGGAGGAAGAATGGAGGAGGGAGAGAAAGAAGAAAGAAGAAGTGTAAAGAGTGAGGGAAGAAGGAGGGTGAGGCAAAGGAGGTGGAAGGGAGGAATAATGAGGAAAAGAGGGGGGAGAAAGAGGGGTGGGGGGGGGAATCGATACGAGAGGATTGTGGGGAGGAATTTGGAGTATTAGAGAGGAGAAGTAGAGAAGGAGAGGGAAAGGGAAAAACATAAGAGAGAGTAAGGAAGATGGGAGATGGATTAAGAAAGAGAAATGAATGAAGAAAGAAAGGAGGGAATAGGGAAGGAGGGAATGCAGTAGGAAGATGAGGGGAAGCAAAAGAATAAGAAAAAAATGGTGGAAGGGCAAAGCATAAAAAGTTTCCCTAGGATGGCTGAAGAAATCTTAGAAAGACATGTGAGATTATGTTGCGGGTAAGAAGATTTGGATTAGGGGGAAAGGGGAGTATGACGAATGGGAGAAAAGAGAAGTATGATAAAAGCAGAAATATGAAAGAATGGCTGAGAGGGGGAGAAAGTAAAGAATATTCAGACTGAGAAAGAAAGAAAGGGAACAAGAACAAAGGAGAAGATGAAAAAGAAAGCGTGAGCGATTGCCTGCACGCGTGAATGACAAAGAGGGAGTGTGAGAGAGAGAGAGAGAGAGAGAGACAGAGAGAGAGAGAGAGAGAGAGAGAGAGAGAGAGAGAGAGAGAGAGAGAGAGAGAGAGAGAGAGAGAGAGAGAGAGAGAGAGAGAGAGAGAGAGAGAGAGAGAGACAGATAGACTTACAGATAGATACAAAAAGAAAGAAAGAGAGAGACAGACAGCCAGATACAGAGAGAGAATAAATGAAATAGTAGAAAATGGAAGGAAGAAACGAAAGAGAGAGAGAAATGAGTAGCCAATCAAGAAGACATACATGCAAAACACAGAGAAGACGCCAAGTCACACGCCAGTCTTTTCCCTTTCCCTTTTGGCCTTCGCCCCCACTACGTACTTTGGACCATCAGCTTGTAGTTGTGTGTCGTGCCGGGGTAAAGAGGCACGCTGAGGTTCCGGCTGAGAACGCCCGTGGACTGATGGAGGTAGAAGTGGTGGTCTCCCGGGGCTGCAAAAAGTTGGTAGTTGACGGCCGCGCAGGGACACCGCGACGCTTCCCCGGGGCCCAAGGGACACGTCAGGCCCAAGTCACCGTCGGTAGCCCACGCCCGGTACACTGGTC